GAAGTCCCTTCATAATTAAATTTACATGATTACACTAAGTAATACCTCATTTCAATTGTAGACTGTTTGTAGCTGATGAAAGGCTGCAAAATAAAATGACCTCATAGTTTATTCTGCAAATACTTCTTTGTTCTTGTATTCTTCAAAACCTGTCTTAGTTGGTTGACTTCATTTTCTTCTTTATTTTGGTTCTCATCTTTCCTAATTTCAACTCATTGTTTATCTTAATTGTTCTGTTTACTGTCTCATTCATACTTTGGGTTTGTTAGTTGGAGCCTTATGGATATTGTGTCGGAGAGAATGTAATTCCACATTAGACCTAAGGTTACAAATCAATATGAACTGATTAACATCGGAAATTCGGAAGGATTGAACAACAAGTGTTTCGTTATCGTAGGTGACACTTCAGTTGTCTGCACTCAGTATCCAATTCTAAGACGAGCACGTTACCATTGACCTAACTCCTGGGTTGATGGAACCCCGTTATCCATATTTCCTATATGTGTCAGTTGAAAATTAAAGACAGGAGTAAAACAAGGCTGTCTACTATCGGCCATGATATTCCTGATTGTGGTCGACTGGATCATGAAACAAACCGTAAGGAGAGAGAAGACAGGATAAGCTGAACCGAGGTAATGATTCTAGAAGATTTGGATTTCGCCGATTACGATGATGAAAATTAGTGTCTAATTGCTTTTGACACACAAACTCGAAGTTCTACATGCAAAAACTAACAAGTTGACAGAAGAGATGAAGCAGCGAAGACGGGACTTCAAGTGAATATAGAGAAGACACAGGTGATGATGATACCCAAAAAACGCGACGACCACCACCAACAAGCTGCAATTACCATCAACGGGAGAAACTCAAAGGAAGTTACCTGTTTCACCTGTGTAGGCAGCATCGTTTCAACTACAGGCGGCACAGGCACAGACGAGGATGTCAAAGTCAGCCAGGATCGGGAAGACAGCAAGACAGGCGTTCATCAGCCTGAAACCAGTGTGGAGATCTTCTGCACTGCACTGCACTCAGCATAAAGCGTGAACAACATCCGGATTTTGAATACCGATTCAGTCAAGTCAGTACTTGCTTCTATATGGTTGAGAGAGTTGACGCATTAAGAAAAGCATTTCCAACAAACTACAGATATTGATCAACAACTGCCACCTACACTGGCTCGTTTCTGAAGATCAGATCAGATCAGATGGCCAGAATAATAAGAATGAGCAACAAGGAACTCTGGAAACGCACTAACCAAGAACCAATCACTCAACAAATATGCAGAAGGAAGTGGAGATGGATTGGATTGGGCATGCACTGAGAAGACCATTCGGTGACATTATGTGTCAGGCCAGGCACTCGAGTGGAGTCCAGACGGGAAGCGATGAGTTGGGTGTCCGAGGTGAGTGTGACATGGAGGAGATGGTGTGGGAGAGAAATTAGAGCTTGTGGGCAGTCGTGGAGGCAAGTTCAAAAGACTGCAGGGAACAGAGTGGAATGTAGACGTGCTACTGAAGCACTGTGTTCCACTAGGAGGAACCCAAGGGACAAATGATAATAATAAATCAGTTGACAATATAGCCTTGACTTACATTCAATATTGTTGTTGAGTAGTTATCTGGGAGTTTGTCGGTGCTTACTGCTGAGGTGTCTCATATTAGGAGGAAACAGTGACTATCCATTGTTACCAGGTTTCCAATGTTTCTCCAACTGATGATGCGTACCTACGCAAATCTCCATATTACTTACATTCGTCTATTTGATATATGATGCACAATGATGTCGTATCATCTACATAAGGATGACGTTTCGAGGATAAATTATTATCCCTTGGAATCGTCTTATCACTATAACTAAGGTTTTCCATAACTCTGGTATGGGTAGGTGTTGCGTCATTCTTATTATATATGAGTTGACTGGGTGAGTTGATTCGATGAACAACAATTCCAGAATCAATCTATCTCCCTCCGTCCACCTAAGTATTATGGAATTAAGTATATCGGTTTTATCCCCCACTCTATTGTATCGTTGCTTGTGATTTTCTGGATTATTGATCGTATTGGGGTCTGTCATCATTCAATAGTTGGTTGAATTCTGTAGTTCCGTTAAATCTTACTGCCACCGACTAGCTAGTTTCACCTATGTACTTGACCTGACTCATAGTCATTACATGGCAATTTGATAGATTAGATTCTTTTGCTGAATGAGGTCTACCAAATGCTTAAGCCGACCGGCAAAGCTAATCTCTGAATAAGTTTGTAAATTGAAATGCCATCCCCAACTAAATCCAGATCTTGTTCTTTATACTGAGTCCAGTGAAATGAAGTACAGTAGATCTCCACACTGATTATTTCGGATTAATGAAGGTCTGTCTTGGTGTCTTTCCAATCCTGCCTTGGACATCTTTATCCATGCCTGTGCCACCGCCAGCGGTTGAAACGATACTGCCATCTAGGTAGTTGGGTAGGTAAAAGAGACAATCTCCTTCACATTTATCCCGTTGATGCTGATTTCTACTTGTTGTTGTTGGTTGGGTATCTTCATCACCTCTGTATCCTCTACGTTCACCTGAAGGAAGTCCGGTCTCCGCTGCCTCGCCTCGCCTCGCCTCTTTTGTCAACTTGTTAGTTTTCTCCTATAGATCTTCGAGTTTTTACGATGTAAGACGTTAGACATAAATCATCATGGACGAAATCCAAATCTTCTAGGGTCTTTTCATCGGTTGAACAGTGTATGTCTATCTTCTCGCTCCTCACAATTTGTTGCATGTTCCAGCTCAATCGATTGGAGATTCTTATTCCCGATTTTAGTGTGCTTCAGTTCTTTGTTTAGGTTGTTGTACTGATTAGTCAGTTTTCTAGCTCTATCATTTAGATATTTGAGTGAACACGCCTTCACTGACTGACATTGGATGAGATAACTTGAAGTCTAGATGCTTACCTGTTGAAATGTGTCGGTTTCCCTGTCGATCGTAGTCTCCAAACCACTGACGTCTGCCTTACGTTTCATCTCGCAATCCAACATAGCTAAATCTCCTTCACATGGTAGTCGGGTGATACAACGCTTGGTGATTGCAGTGAAATAAAATTCTGGTCAGCAGTCGGACCTCATAGCTCAGTTGGTAGAACACCAGACCGGTAACCCCGTGTCGCTGGTTCGAATCCGGCCGCGGTCAAATGCTGAAATAATAAAGCTACAATACTAACCACTCAGTACCACAACTTAAACAAGCAATTCAAAGATAACCAATGAAATACTTTACTACAAATAATCTCTCTGGATGGTCAAATTTAATGCCTAAAACTAATAATCCTAGTGGAATTCACGGTGGTGTTAAGGTTCATAAACCAGGTTATCCTATTAGATCGATAGTTGACTTCAGATATACCCTCAACATATTGAACTAGCAAAGCACCTAGCATCCATATCGATCTAAATGTATAGAAGAGGATGAAAAAAAATGGTTAGTTTCGACGTAAAACAAACCTTTCTACTAAAATACTAATCTATAAGGCACTGGAGGCAGTCAGAAATCAACTAAATAGTGACTGAGAACTCGCCTGACCTCCACAGTCTGTAAGTTTTAGGCTAAAATATATACAGACAAACTGAAGGAGTAGATGTCAATGGGGTCATCAATATCTCCAATCGTAGCGAACATAGTTATGGATAGTTGGGAAGAGATTTGGCGTTACAAAGGTTCCACCCTGCACTCAAGATATGGTGGTGATATATGGATGAGATATTCATCATTGTGTTGAAATTGGAACATAACGACAATTTCCTAGTAGACGCAATCCACTTTTCACTTAACAAGGAGGTAGAAAATGAACGGAGGGGAATCACCTATGTTGGATAACATGATAAAATGAAGGACAGACGTCAGTGGTTTAGATACCACCGTCTACAGCAAACCGATACATTCTAACAGGTGGGTATCTAGACTTCCGGTCATCTCATTCAGTGTTAGTCAATGAAGGCAGATTCACTGAAATGTCTAAGTGATAGAGCCAGAAAACTAACCAGTCAGTTCAAGGACCTAAACAAAGAAGTGAAGCACAACACGAGAATGAATCATAACGACAATATGATTAGAAAGGAGTTCATAGCCTCCATTGTCTTACCTTTCCAAGGAAGGTACATTAGAAATTTCAACGTAGGCTCCTCTACAAATTCACTGAGTGATAATCTTTGTCCGCCAGTTGAAGGAACCGATAGGTCCAATTCAACAAAATAATCTAATCTATCAAATTGCCATGTAATGACTATGAGTCAGGTCAAGTACATAGGTGAAACTAGCTGGTCGGTGGCAGTAAGATTTAACGGAACTACAGAATTCAACCAACTATTGAATGATGACAGACCCCAATACGATCAATAATCTAGAAGAAAACCCTGGCTACTGGAATTCACACAAAAGGGGTTGGTGATGAAACCATAGTACTTAAGTGCAATATAATAAGATAGTAGGAGAGAGAGAGAGAGGGGGGTATTAATTACTGAGTCTCTGTTCATCGAATCAACACCCACCCACCGAACACATATGTGTAATCGGAATGATGCAACACCAAGGTATAGAAATGAAGTGAAATAATATTAGTAGGGTGATGGAGTGTCGAAAGTGCTATATGTGAGATTACACATTAAAATATGACTATGCGCAATGAGAATTTCAACTTGGAACGTTGTCGTGAATTATATGGTACCAGATCGGTCACTGTGTATTATCTGCGAAGTAACCAAATCTAATACGTTGTATTCATTATCAGCTGATATCCATTGAAACTGTATATGACAACTGTTTCGTCCCAGTGTGCAACTCGTCAGCTGTACTCAGTACGCTTATTGGTGGAGTGGTTGACTTGTTCGCGATCATATTGGTCACACGAATACACTATACACTGTTCAGATATACTAATTCTGTCCTTCTAATTTCACTAAATAGATATAATAATCTATTTTCCTAACAATTAATTAGTCCAATGTAAAATATATTTTAGCCAATTATGCCCGCGAATCATTCAATAACATCACCGCGTTCACGTTTATCACCATTATCATCATCATCAAAGCGTTCAAGTCCATTTAAACGACGTTATCCACGTAATCTATTGCATATACCATTGAATGGTGATTGGACTGATGATATATTTTGGACATTGAGCAACACTACTACCAATCCCAGTGATATGAACAATATTACTAATACCATTACTACAACTACTAGTAATACTACTAAGAGTAGTAGTAACCATAATACTACTGCAACTTGTGTAACATATAAGAAAAGTCTACCTTCACGTCGTAGACATAAACATCGTCAGGTAATTCGCTTTATTTTGCTTCATCATTCAAGCCAATAGTATGCCTGTGTGTGTGTGTTCGCTTGCATAATAGCCCAATCAAACCTCAGAATAGATATATAAGTAGTATATGTTGACAGGGTGACAGAAATCATAGGCGATTACTGGCAATGGGTAAAGATTCTGCTTAGAAAATCTCAAGAGATAATGTTGGCGTATTAAGAGCAAGTCAAGATGGAAGTAGAAGAGAAAATGAAGTACTGTCTTAGTGCAAGGTGTACAATAATTTACCTGTGTAACCATTAGCTGTCTGGTGGTCTTGGCCACCTCGCTAATATCCATATGTTAGGCTGTGTTTACTAGGCGATTGGGACACTTTCGGTGAACTATGCAGCTAGCAACTGTGTCTGGGAGTCCTCACTCAAAACGGGAAGTGCTTCCTGAAGTGGATTTGTCAACTTTACATATGATAACAGTGTATCTTCGTCTATCAACTAACAATGGGAAGCTCAGACATGCCCTTGAAGTGAAGACAGGAGTAAGACAAGGCTGTCTACTATCGGCCGTAATCTTATTGATTGTGGTCGACTGAATCATGCGACAAACTGTTTTGAATTAGAAAAGAGGGATACGCTGAACCGAGGTAATGATTCTAGAAGATTTGGATTTCGCCGATTACGATGATGAAAATTAGTGTCTAATTGCTTTTGACACACAAACTCGAAGTTCTACATGCAAAAACTAACAAGTTGACAGAAGAGATGAAGCAGCGAAGACGGGACTTCAAGTGAATATAGAGAAGACACAGGTGATGATGATACCCAAAAAACGCGACGACCACCACCAACAAGCTGCAATTACCATCAACGGGAGAAACTCAAAGGAAGTTACCTGTTTCACCTGTGTAGGCAGCATCGTTTCAACTACAGGCGGCACAGGCACAGACGAGGATGTCAAAGTCAGCCAGGATCGGGAAGACAGCAAGACAGGCGTTCATCAGCCTGAAACCAGTGTGGAGATCTTCTGCACTGCACTGCACTCAGCATAAAGCGTGAACAACATCCGGATTTTGAATACCGATTCAGTCAAGTCAGTACTTGCTTCTATATGGTTGAGAGAGTTGACGCATTAAGAAAAGCATTTCCAACAAACTACAGATATTGATCAACAACTGCCACCTACACTGGCTCGTTTCTGAAGATCAGATCAGATCAGATGGCCAGAATAATAAGAATGAGCAACAAGGAACTCTGGAAACGCACTAACCAAGAACCAATCACTCAACAAATATGCAGAAGGAAGTGGAGATGGATTGGATTGGGCATGCACTGAGAAGACCATTCGGTGACATTATGTGTCAGGCCAGGCACTCGAGTGGAGTCCAGACGGGAAGCGATGAGTTGGGTGTCCGAGGTGAGTGTGACATGGAGGAGATGGTGTGGGAGAGAAATTAGAGCCTGTGGGCAGTCGTGGAGGCAAGTTCAAAAGACTGCAGGGAACAGAATGGAATGTAGACATGCTGCTGAAGCACTGTGTTCCACTAGGAACCCAAGGGACGAGGAATATAACAATAATAATCTTCGTCTGTTCGAAGTTTCGTGCTTTAAAACCTTTTGCTTCTCCAGATTTCTGTTCGTTGAGCTGTGAAACTCCAGCTTCAGGTGTTGAACCATTCTCTGCCAAAGTCTTTCCCATCCGCAATTTCCATGATGTCGAATACCACTTACGCTATACCCTATCAGCTCCTCGACCGACTCAAAGTCCCTGAGGAATACCTTGATGTCTACGTTGTCAAACACTTAAGGTCACGGAATTTTCGTCATGTCAAGAAGTAGAGAAACCATTTTTAGAAAACAACAAGACTGAGATGCATGTTATACACTATTGATCAAATATTTTACACCTTCCACTTGGAGAGTAGTTCATTTCCTCTTAATATATGTGTTTAACTTTGGCACTGCTCTCGAGTGTAATTCCATTCTAGTCTGTTTATTAGAAATATCACGCAGTGAAACAGTAGCATTTACTGGATAACGTTTCAGACAATTTATTGTCCATATTCATATCACCTGATATGAATCTGGACAGTAAATTATGTCCGAAACGTTATCCGGTAAATGCTACTGTTTCACTGTGTGATATTTCTAATTAACAGACTAAAATGGAATTCATTTTCCCTTCTACTTCCATCTTGACTTGCTCTTAATACGCCAACATTATCTCTTGAGATTTTCTAAGCAGAATCTTAACCCATTGCTAGTAATTGCCTATGATTTCTGTCATCCTGCCAACATATACTACTTATATGTGCATTGTGATCAGTAGCGCCGAATGCTCTAATAGTAACATCGAGATTGTACTGAATAATCAACGCTAATCTAAGCAAAATCGCTGTCTTGATTTCGCTAGTTTACTTTTGTCTTGGTGATAAATTAAGTTGCACCCTAACCCTTTGGGTGGGAAATATATCATTATGATGTGAAAATGGATTGTTTATTTATTTGTTTGTATTTTGGCTTAACACAAACTGTTTACATTCTGTACACTAATTCACAGTCTAAATATTAACTGATTATTATTATTATTTGTCCCTTGGGTTCCTAGTTGAACATAGGGCTTGAGTAGCACGTCGCTATTTCACTCTGTCCTCTGCCATCTTTTCAACCTGGCTCCATGACTTCCCAGAAGCTCTCATTTCTTCCTCATATGATCTGCTCCATGTCACCCTCAGCTGCTACGCCCAACTCGTCGTTCTCCCTTCGGATTCCATTCGATGGCCTAGACTGTCGCGTGATGTCCTCAATCGGCCTGCTCAGAGTATGTCCGATCCATCTCCACTTCCTCCCTACGGATATTTGTTGAGTGATAGGTTCTTGTTTGTTTCGTTGCCCGACAGCCAGAGTTCCTTGTTGCTTATTCTTTCTGGTCATCCCATCTGATCTTCAGTATCGAGTGAGCGTAGGCAGTTGTTGATGAATGTCTCCAGTTTGTTGGAAATGCTTTTCGTAACGCACCAAGTCTCTGAACCATATGGGAGCACTGAATGGGTGTTGAAAATCCGGATGTTGTTCACGCTTTATGCTGAGTGCATGTTATTGAACGCGCGTCTTGCTTTCCTGATACTGGCTGATTTTGACGTTCTCGTCTGTTCCGCCTGTAGTTGAAACGATGCTGCCTAGATAGGTGAAAGAGGTTACTTCTTTTAAGTTTCTTCCGTTGATGGTGATGGCGTTTGTTAGATATCATCATAACCTCTATTTTCTCTACATTCACTTGGAGTCGTGTTTTCGCTGCTTCTTCTGTCAACTTGTTACTTTTCGCCTTTCCATCTTCAAGTTTGTTTGACATATCCTGACCGATAATAGTGAATAATTTTCAGGATTGGTAGATGGGCTTTAAGCAACCGACTAGATGTATCAGCCATCAGAGGTGTCTGGTCTCCTATGTTGATGTCATTTAAGTTTGAGATAATGGTTAGGTAGCGGAAGTTAGGTGTAGCGTTTCGTCTTATGATGACTGATTTAGTAATTGAAGGTGGGAGAATCTCAGGAGGATGAAAGTGATCCGATCACAAATAGATTCATATACAGACTTGGGATATGTTGAAAAAGGAAAGGGAAATTATAAAGGTGAAGGTGAAGTGTTTGTCCTTACCACTATCACAACTGATTGTTACAACACAATTAGAATGAAATTAGGAGAAACTGTTACCAAGGCATGATGTGTGTAACTGCTGGTGTTATTTGTTTAAGGAGAGAAGTATAACAGATTATTTGACTAGGCTCATGTGTATAGCAATGATGTGGAGAATGGTTAGCAGCAGCTTTTCGTCTTGTTAGCTGGATTTACCTATCGCCTTACTCACTGAGACTTGGATCTTGTACCCATCGCTTCGAATGCCAATGGATTGCCTATCAGACTACTGAGATACAATAGTCACCTTTTGTTTGTCTTCTTATCTGCCTATCAGACTGGTAATGTATTCAGTAGGTTGAACCACCTGATATTTTCGCTTACCCGGTCTATAGTCAGGACCTTGATTCGTAATATATTTTTCTAAGCTATTTATATGCATTGTTAGCTGGTTTAGTTTGCTTCTGCTAACCATTCATGCAATTTTCCTTTGTTATTTTCCCCTTGTCAGTGCCCTGTGTGTATGCCTGAGGTAGTGTTCCTATGTATCTATGTATGTATTTATAATAAATCATGATTGAACATGAATTTCAAATCCACTTATGAAAGTTTTTTTTTGCTTGATCGCCCTATTGCATCATTCTTTCTTCATCGATATCACACTGGCTATCTTTATTATTATTGTTCGTCCCTTCGGTTCCTAGTGGAACATAGGGCTTCAGTAGCACGTCTACATTCCATTCTGTTCCCTGCAGTCTTTTGAACTTGCCTCCACGACTGCCCACAAGCTCTAATTTCTCTCCCACACCATCTCCTCCATGTCACACTCACCTCGGACACCCAACTCATCGCTTCCCGTCTGGACTCCACTCGAGTGCCTGGCCTGACACATAATGTCACCGAATGGTCTTCTCAGTGCATGCCCAATCCAATCCATCTCCACTTCCTTCTGCATATTTGTTGAGTGATTGGTTCTTGGTTAGTGCGTTTCCAGAGTTCCTTGTTGCTCATTCTTATTATTCTGGCCATCTGATCTGATCTGATCTTCAGAAACGAGCCAGTGTAGGTGGCAGTTGTTGATCAATATCTGTAGTTTGTTGGAAATGCTTTTCTTAATGCGTCAACTCTCTCAACCATATAGAAGCAAGTACTGACTTGACTGAATCGGTATTGGAAATCCGGATGTTGTTCACGCTTTATGCTGAGTGCAGTGCAGTGCAGAAGATCTCCACACTGGTTTCAGGCTGATGAACGCCTGTCTTGCTGTCTTTCCGATCCTGGCTGACTTTGACATCCTCGTCTGTGCCTGTGCCGCCTGTAGTTGAAACGATGCTGCCTACACAATCGTCGGCGAAATCCAAATCTTCTAGAATCATTACCTCGGTCTA